GGATCTGCTGTAGGGGCTTTATAGGTTTTTGGGGTTTCCCCCCCCCCCTAATTTCACACTGGTTTACCTACAAAGTTGTTATACATTGCCTCTCCCATTAGATCAGCCACCTTCCCAACTCCTCCCATCAAACTATGTGACCCCATGATTACCACCACACACCCCCCCCCGCTAGGATTTTTGTGTTCTTGACGTTGTGATAAAATCCATATTGAGGGCTGTATTCTTTTTATCTTCTGAAGAAAGTGCTTCAAGTCCTCCTCACTTGCAATAGGCATGGTTTTATCATCCACGTAATGAAGGTGATTGATGAGTCATCATCTAATCTTGATGCCATATTCTTCATAGAATACAGCTTCTCAAATCATTTCAGCATACAGATTAAATAGATGTGGAGAAAAAATACAACCCTGATGAACACCTTTCCTAATTTTAACCTATGCATTATTCCTTTGCTCTGTTCACACAACAGCTTCTTATCTAGGTATAGGTTTCATATGAGCACAATTAAGTGCTCTGGGATTCTCATTCTTCTCAATGTTAGCCATAATTTGTTATAATCCACTCAGTGAAATGCCTTTCTAAAGTCAATAAAGCATAAATAGACATTCTTCTGGTGGAACTTCTGGCAATTCCCTATCTCTGTACTGTTCTAGGATTTTTAAAATTATATTCCACACTATTTTGCATGTGATATTCATGATATTATTTAAGTTTGCACATTATGTTGGATAACCTTTTTTGAGAATGGGAACAAATAATGTATCTATCTCTCCTAGTCGGCCAGCCAGACAACTCCCCTCCAAATTTCCTGGCATAGACTGGTGAGTGCATACAGGGCAGCATCTATTGAAACATGTTTATCGATATTCTGTCAATTCCTGTGGTCTTGGTTTTTTTTACAGATGTCTTCAGTGCAACTTTAACTTCTTCCTTTCTTACCATTGGTTCTTGTTCATATGGTACTTCTTGGTATTTTTTTCAGTATCAGTCAATTCTTTTTGATACAGTCATTCTGTGCATTCCCTCCATCTTCTTTTGAACTTGGGACATGGGGTATGACTAAATGAGGCAGGCAAAAGTGCAAAGTTACAAAGACAGAGTAAGGTGTCTCTTTAGTGGTTTTCTTGGACTCTGTCTTGTTTTTTGTGCTAAAAGACTGGACACATTGAAAATGGAAGATGGAGTTAAGAAAAGTACTTAAATAATTTACTATTTCCTAAACAGATATTCAAGTAGCTTTGAGGTGTCTAACATTGTGTTAAATGATGTGATCCTACAAAGCATATAGAGAAGTTATGGAGAAGACTGTTGGGAACTGTCAGAACTAGCAGCTACTTGAACAGGACTTAGAAATATGGACCTACAATGCAGCTGAACTATCCAGCTGAAGCTCTTGCCACCAGTCTGTTTTCTGATCTAGCCTTCACATTGCTGAGGTTATTTTCAAAAAAGAAAGAGACCCAACAAAATAAAAAAAGAACTTCCCATAGGGTTTTTCTAGACAGTAACCTTTATGGCAGCAGATCATAAGGTGTTTCTCCTATGGACTTGCTGAATGATTTCAAACCATTAACCATCCAGATAGTGAGTTAGCACTATTTGACAAGTGTGGCATCAGAGTGTGTGAGCTTTCTTTTGTCTTCCTTCTGCCATTTTCTTCTCTCTTTGTATAGACAGAAATATTGATATGTATATATCTCCATATGCATACAAGACCTGTTAAATACAACTGTTATTTAACTATACACTTATACAGTTAAAGCTAAGGAGGAGGAAATTGAAGATTTTTATCAAATTTTGCAATCCAAAACTGACCTAACATGCAGTGAAGATGCTTCGGTGATAATTGGTGACTAGAATGCAAAAGTTGGAAACAATGAAGAAGAAAGGATATTGGAATGTATGAACTTGGTGATAGAAATGAGACAAGAAAGGGAATGATCAAATATTTTATGTTCAATGACTTATTCATTAAAATTTTTTTAAAAAAACACACAAATAGCATCTTTATACAGTGACCTTACAAGATAGACTGCTTGAGACTCTTATTGCCTACATCTGTGGAAGCACATATCAGCAGTAAAATCTAGATCAGGTGCTGACAGTGGAACAGAGATTGTCTCTTCCTCCTCCTCCTCTTCTTTTTCTTCTCCCTCCCCCTCCTTCCCCTCTTCTTTCTTCTCCTCCCCTCTAAACCTGTGACTCGAAGAGACCTTGGCTTCGCTGGGACTCTACCCCTGGGAACAGCCCTAAAACCTGCTCTATCCTGCGCCAACCGCACCGCCTCTGACACACCCATCCCGATTACCCCAGTCACCGAATCAATCCATCTCATAG